GATACAAAATTAACGTCAAGAAATTGACGGCATTCTTCTACACCAATGATGAACTCACAGAAAGAGAAACTAAAAAAAGATCCCATTTACCATTGCAGCAAAAAAATTAAGATACCTAGGAATAAACTTAACCAAAGAAGTAAAGGACCTATTCACAGAAAACTACATGTCATTGAAAAAAGAAATAGAGGAAGATATAAAAAAGTGGGAGCACATACCCTGTTCATGAATTGGAAGAATTAACATCATTAAAATGTCCATACTACTCAAAGCAATCTATAGATTCAATACAATCCCCATCAAAATACCAACGACATACTTCACAGAACTAGAACAAATACTTCAAAAGTTCATATGGAACCAAAAAAACCTGAATAGCCAGAGCAATCTTGAAAAAGAAGAACAAAGTTGGAGGGATCACATTACCAGATTTCAGGTTATACTACAAAGCCCCTGTAATCAAAACAGCCTGGTACTGGCACATAGATCAATGGAACAGAATAGAGAACCCAGAAATGGACCTAAGACAATATGCTCAATTAATATTTGACAAAGGTGGCAAGAGCATACAGTGGAGTAAAGACAGCCTCTTTAATATATGGTGTTGGGAAAACTGGACAGCTACATGCAAAAAAATGAAACTAGACCATCAATTTACACCATACACAAGAATCAACTCAAAATGGATAAAAGGCTTAAATGTGACTCATGAATCCATAAAAATCCTAGAAGAAAATGTAGGCAACAAAATTTCAGACATCGTATGCAGCAGAATTTTCACTGATACATCACCTAAGGCAACAGAAACAAAGAAGAAAATGAACACATGGGACTACATCAAACTCAAAAGCTTCTGCACAGCAAAAGAAACAACCACCAAAATGGAAAGGCAACCCACTTTATGGGAGAGCATAATTGCCAACAATATACCAGATAAGGGGTTAATTTCCAATATATACAGAGTGCTCATACAACTCAACAAAAGGAAGACAAAGAACCCAATTAAAAAATGGGCAGAGGAACTAAATAGACACCTCTCCACACAGGACATACAAATGGCTAAGAGACATACGAAGAAATGCTCAGCATCACTAATCATCTGAGAGATGCAAATTAAGACAACAATGAGGTATCACCTCAAACCTGTCAGAATGGCCACCATCAACATATCATCAAACAACAAGTGTTGGTGGGGGTGTGGAGAAAAGGGGACTCTAGTACACTGCTGGTGGGAATGCAGACTGGTGCAGCCACTATGGAAAACACTATGGTGTTACCTCAAAAAATTAAAAATTGAACTACCATTTGACCCAGTGATCCCACTTCTAGGAATATACCCTAAGAAGCCTGAAACACCAATCAGAAAGAATATATGTATCCCCATGTTCGTAGCAGCACTATTTACAATAGCTAAGATCTGGAAACAGGCCAAGTGTCCATCAGTAGACGAATGGATAAAAAAGCAGTGGTACATATACACAATGGAGTACTACGCAGCTGTAAGAAAGAAAGATCTCTTATCGTTTAAGACGACATGGAGGGACCTTGAAAGTATTATCGTAAGCGAAACAAGCCAAACAGAGAAAGACAAGTATCATATGATCTCACTTATTTGTGAAATATAATGAACGTAACAGTCTGAGAAATGAGGTAGTCCCAGAGACATGGAAGTGGGGTACAGACTGACAATCCCCAGAAGAGGGGTTGGGGGGAAAGATAAACCACAGAACTTATATGCATGAACAATGGACATGGACAACAAGGCTGGGGACAGGGTGGGGAGGGAGGGGATGGGGGAATCAGTGGGGGTAAGAGGAGAAACATCTGTAACAAAAATAAATAAATTAATTAAAAATAAATAAAATCACTCTTTTGTAGTTCTTTGGCCATTTATGAGTTTTCCTAAATGTATAAGGATATATTTAAGTTGGAGTTTAGTCAAACGTAAGGTAAAACTATTCAGTCAAACTTCAGTAAAGGGCAGGTGGTACTAAACCTACTTATAGAATATGCTAAAAATAAAAAGCACATACATGCCTCAAATCTTAGCAGATCTTAACCTCCAACATAAAAATATTTTGGCAATGTTCTTTCTGAAAATTTAACATTACATGGCCCTCATATATGAGAAGAAAATATCTTCAGGTGAAACTATAACAGAATAATTAAATCACTCATTATACTGTCATTTTCTCCATTTAGCCTGTTAACTGCTCCTCTTTTGAGACAAAGAAGGGGAGGCAAAAGAATAGGAAAAACAAAAAACAAAAACCCAACAAACCTTAACTCTTGAAAGTTCCAATGGAAAAAGTTTTTTTTGTGTATTATATTGTAAATTCATTGTCAAAGGAGTTAGCATTCAGGAGCAAAGTTACAAAAGTAACATCTCTATTCTAATTCTAGTTCGTTTTTTTAACATGACTTGAATATAAATCTTGATTTTTTTTTTCTCTCCAAAACATTCATAGAAAATAAAACAGCCCAGCCAGTGTGGCTCAGTGGTTGAGCATAGACCCATGCACAAAGTTGCCAGTTCGATTCCCAGTCAGGGCATATGCCCAGGTTGTGGGCCTGATGCCCAGTGAGGGGCATGTAGGAGGTGGCCAATCAATGTTCCCTCTCATCGATGTTTCTATCTCTCTCTCCCTCTCCTTTCCTCTCTCTAAAAATCAATGAAAAAAGAAAATGAAACTGAAATTAGCATATGCTAGTATATATTCAAGTATGATTTAAGTATTGATTTTTCTTCTACCACAGATGAATCTGAATATTCTAGTTTCAAATGGCCTACTGCTATAGTTCAAGCCTAGGAATTCAATGTAGTGGCCTGACTTTATCACAGGACAATACACAGTTTCTAGGAACCTCACTCACTGGTTGCAAACCACTGGTGACTCTTGGCTTGAAATTTCTCTTCCTCTCAGACAGATCTGCCCTTTCTGTGTCAACTGCCTCTGACTTTACTTCAGATAGGGTAACAGAAAGCTGGCCTCAGTCTAGTTTTCTCTACTCCAAGACAGGGTGTGTATGTGTGTGTGTTTGAGATAGAAATTTAGAACAGGAAGTAGCAATCTAATTCAAGCTTCTCACATTATAGACAGGCCCTATTTTATGAAAGGGAGTACCAGCTGTTTGATCTCAGTGTTCCTCATTAAAACTAATAGTTTTAGAGCAGCAATGATTCTTCGATTTAGTGTAATTCAGAGGTTTCAGCACAGTGTCATTGGCACACCACAGGATCCACAATGCTTTACAGTCCGTGTTGTAAAGTCTATCTGGAATGGTAAATCACCATAAGGCTCATAAATTGCCTTGTTTTTTTTAGCTGTGGGCTAGAATTTTATCAACTCAGTGGGCACACAGCATGTCTCAGAACAGAAGCTCTGATAGGCATTTAGGTATGCCTTTAAGAAAACAGAAAAGAGAATTGTTGCTACTAAATCTGGTAACACAAAAATCTGAAAATCATTAGATTCATTGAAGCAAATAAAAAAGGTGAGGAAAATATTAGAAACCATTCAGCAATAGAACATCTTCATTTTGCTGATGAGAAAAATTATAGTACGTAGATCATGTGCCTGGCCCAAGATAATTCTACAAGTGGGTGACTGAAGGTAATGACTGAACTCTGAAACTCAAGGTTCTGAGTGTTGGTCCAGGGCTACTTATATTCTGGCTGTAGCCATGCTCAGAAACCCTCCTTCTTGGCAGTAGTGATTTAGTTTTTATCAGTATGTTCTGGTCACATTTCTTCATTTTCTGTAGAATAGGTTTATAAATGCTACTTACCCCTTATAGGATTATTGTGGGTATTAAGTAAGATAATGCAGTTAAGCCCTGGCTGGTTTTGCTCAGTGGTTAGAGCATCAGCCTGAGGTCCAGAGAGACCCAGGTTCAGTTCCCGCTAGGGGCAACGTGCCTTGGTTGCAGTTAGTCCCCGGCTCTGGTTGTTCCTGAGGGTGGTAGTCACTCGATGTGTACCTTTCACGTCAATGTTTCTCTCCCTCCCTCCCACTCTATCTGAACAAAAAATTGAAAAGAATGTCCTCGAGTGAGGATAAAAAAAAAAAGGTAATGCAGTTAAAACACGTTAGCACTGCCTAACACATAAACACTCAACAAATGTCTGTTCGATGTAAATTGGTGTAAAACAGTTCCCCAAGGTGTTTTCCCTGAGTTGGCAGCTGTGACAGAATCTGATCATTGCCTCCATCCTTAGACAAAGAACCCTGTTTTCCTGTGGTACAGGGGTGCCCAGCTAAAAGACCACACTTGGTTGCCCCCTCACAACCAGAGGTGGCCAATGTGATGAAGAGAAATTGGTAGGCAGTGATTCCAGGACATCTTTTAAAGAATTTTATGGGAGAAAAATGAAATAGAAATGCTAAGCTCATAGCAAATCAGTAGCAGTTTTGGAGCTAGAACTCCGGACTTCCACTTCTGTGCCTGGATCTTGAGAGCACTGCACGGATAACCCATAACAACCCTATGAGCAGCTACCATTTCTTGTTTCCTATGTACCAGGCATTGCGCACATGTTAAACATCACAAATATCCTAGAGGTATTAGTGTCTGAGTTTTACATGTGACCGGTAACGTGACTCGCTGAAGGGCACTGAGCTAGCTAGTCAAGGGCAGGGGAACCTAGGTCAGATTTTAAAGCCGAAGCTAGACAAAGAATAAGGTTTTCAACCTACACGGATGTTCTCTACAAAGCCCTGTGCTGCAAGCAGGGGGACGAGGGTCAGCGGTGTAACCTGGGACTAATCACCTCTGAGCTTAGGTTGCTGCTTCTGTACAGGAGAGAATGCTTCTAGTCCTAAAAGCATGAAACGTCCAAGTCCCAGCCGAGACCAGGAAAGCCCAAGCACGCGGGAAGGGAGGCTGGGTCTGCGCGGGGCAGGGAAGCGCCCTCCCGCTCCCGCAGCCTCGCCGCCGGGGTGGGGGCGCCCGCGCGGACCAGGCAGGCTGGGGGTCCGGGAGCCGGCGCCCGCGGTTACCTGACAACGGCGCCACCACCGCCTCCTCCCTGTGCACCGCGCCTACGGCCAGTGTGGCCGAGGGCAGCAGCCAGAGCAGCGGCCACCACGGCCCCGGGGGCGGCCGCATTCCGCCAGATCAGCTCCGCGCCCGCCCAGTGCAGCGAGACCCCTTGGGGTCCTGTTCTGCCGCCCGTAGCGGAAATGGCGCGGGGTACAGAGGGAAGAGGGGCGGCGGGGGAGGGGCGGGGGAGGCCTCGCGCGGGAAAAGCGGAGGTCCCGCCTCCCGGGCCGAGGAGGGCTCGCCTGAAGCTCCCGCCTCCGCCGCGCCCGCGCCCGCGGGGCACGTAGCGGCGGGGCCTGGGCGGCCCTGGAAGGTCTCTGGGTCCCTCCGGGCCTCCGGCTTCCGGGCTACAGCCTCCCCTGGAGGCACTCGGGCCTCGCCCCACCAATCTCTGCGCTGGGGAGGCTGCGGGAGGAGGGACCGCGCCCCTGTGAATTTTGCTTAAAATTTGCCTGACCTGTGACTCGGTTTTCCGGCTCAGTGCTGAGCTCCCACCAGGGACAGCCCTTCCGCAACTTCCCTTCTTATAAGTAAAAGTCAGTTTCTTTATTTTCCCTTTTTGTAACACGCAATAACAAGTTGGCAATTTGTTTGCAAAAATAACATTGACTTGTGTGTCTGAGTTTAAAAACACACCACGATTGGGTATAAAGAAGCTGGAAAATATCCCCTCACCAATATAACAAAGTCCGCCCTCGTTTACCGCGGTTGATCAGTTCCAGACTCTACCCTGGGAAACGAATTGCCGCCAGGTAGGATTCTACATAGGCAGTGGTCCCTGCCACTTCGCTTCTTTCAGGGCTTCACTCTATCGGTTTTTGAAAATATAGTATAGTATTTGTTTTTGGGTTTTTTTAATCCTCACCTGAGGACATTTTTCCATTTTTTGTTCAGATAGAGTGGGAGGGAGAGAGAGAGAGAAACATTGATGTGAAAGGGACACATTGAGTGGCTGCCAGGGGCCGACCAACCAGGGCCGGGGACAAACTGCAACTGAAGTGCATGCCCTTAGTGGGAACCGAACCCGGGTCTCTCCCACCACAGGCCGACGCTCTAACTGCTGAGCCAAACCGGCCAGGGCTATAGTATAGTATTTGAAAATACTATACGGTTGTGCGGGTGGCAGCCACTCGATGTGTTCCTTTCACATCGGTGTTTCTCTCTCTCTCTCTCTCTGTTCCTCTCTCTCCCTCCCACTCTACCTGAACAAAAAATGGGAAAATGTCCTCGAGTGAGGATAAAAATTAAAAAAAAGAAAATATAGTATAGTATTTTTAAAAAGCGCCATAGAGTGAAGCCACGGAAGTCCAAGAGCAAAGTGGCGAGGGATGACTGTACCCCTTAAAATGACCCTGCAGTGAACAAAAAAAGGCAATAGGGTACAGATTGGTGGTTGCCAGAGGGAAGGCATGAGGGGAAGTGGGCAAAATGGGTGAAGGTGATTGATGGTGGGAACTTCTGGTTACATGATAAGTTCAGCATGGTGACTGAAGTTAATAGTACTTTATGTTATATTTGAAAGTTGCTAAGAGTAGATCTTAAAAATTCTCATCACAAGAGCCCTGGCTGGTTTGGCTCAGTGGCCAGAGCGTTGGCCTGCGGTCTGGAGAGAGACCCACGTTTGGTTCCTGCTAAGGGCAGGTACCTTGGTTGTAGTTTGTCCCTTTCATGTCGATGTTTCTCTCTCCCACTCTGAACTTGCCCTCTCTCTCCTCCACTCTATCTGAGCAAAATATTTAAAACTGTCCTCAGGTGAGGATAAAAGAAAAAAAAATTCTCATCACAAGAAAAAAATTGTGTAACTATGTGAGGTGCCGAATGTTAACTAAACTTATTTTGATGACCACTTTGAAAATACATGTCAAACCATTATGTTGTACACCTAAAACAATACATTATTATATGTCAGTTATATCTCAATAAAACTGAAAAAAATAAGTATAGAACTATCAATACTAATATTAGTATAGATCCTGCAGCCTTAAATAATATTTTACTGTACTTTGTTTTCTTCTTTTAAAATAGACCCTTCTTAGGCCCTGGAAACCCATTAATGTCATTCAATATTTCATATTAAACATTTACTAGAATATAAAGGTCATTTCCTCTTTTCTAATTCTGGTCTTCTGCTGAAGTACCTCAGAGAACCCAACTGTGACAGTAATCATCCTCTAAAAATAACTGTCTCATTTTCCCTAAAAGTCTGAGTAAGACTCACTAGCCTTTCCCTGGCTTCAAAAAAGGTTTGACCAACTGCCCTAAACCTCTAGCACCATGTACACAGTGATATATGGCTTTAGAAAGTTCAGAAAGATCCTTGTTAAGGGTTCTTCAGGGAATGATTTTTACAAGTAAACTATTATTACTTGAACTCCCACCTTATCTGATCCTGCAGACTGTCTCCAGAGAAATGGCAGAGCCTGATGTGTACTTGCCTCTTGCATAATGGGTATGTCTGGTTGTTTTCCTAATCACATTCATTTTGATTTAGATTCATTTTGGGTGGTACTATGGAAAGTGGCTGGAAGAAACAGGTAGATTCTTGAATGACAAATGTGTTTTTCTGTAGCTGTATCTGGAAGAGAAATTAAAAGCAAGCATACTAAATTAATATTTAAAGTGCTAGTCATGTAGCACATACTTAATAAATATCTTTGAAGAAGCTAAACTGAAACCCCACATTCCTCTTTATGGAATTACAATATTTTTGCCACTATGTCTCCTAGGGCAAGGGAAATAAAGGAAAACATAAATAAATAGAACTACATCAGACTAAAAAGCTTCTGCACTGCAGAAGAAACATCAAAATGAAAAGGGAACCCACTGTATGGGAAAATATGTTTGCCAAGAATACATCTGATAAGGGGTTAATCTCCAAAATATATAAAGAAGTTATTCAACTCAACACCAGGAAGATAAACAGTCCAATTAGAAAATGGCAAAGGACCTGAATAGATACTTCAAAGAGGACGTACAGATAGATGGTCAATAGACATGAAAAAATACTCAATGTGACTAATCATCAGAGAGATGCAAATTAAAACTACAATAGGGTATAGCCTCATACCTGCCAGAACGGCTGCCATCAATAAATCAACAAAGAACAAGTGCTGGCAAGGGCATGGAGTAAAGGACTGCTGGTGGGAATGTAGACTGGTACAGCCATTATGGAAAACAGTATGGAGTTTTCTCAAAAACTTAAAAATGGAACTGCCTTTTGACCCAGCAATCCCACTTCTGGGAATATATCTTAAGAATCCGAAAACACCCATCAGAAAGAATATATGTACTCCTATCTTCATAGTAGTGCTTATTTACAATAGCCAAGATATGGAAACAGCCCACATGCCCATCAGCACATAAGTGGATAAAAAAGCTGTGATACAATTACACAATGGAATACTACACGGCTATGAAAAAGAAGGAACTCTTACCCTTTGTGAAAGCATGGATGGACCTGGAGAGTATTATGCTAAGCAAAATAAGCCAGTTAGAGAAAGACAAATACCATATGATCTCACTAATATATGGAATCTAATTAACACAATAAACTGATGAACAAAATGTAACCAGAAGCATGGATACATTGAACAGACTGGCTGGTGCCAGAGGGGCAGGGATGGGATACAAAGCTGAGAATTTTTCAAAATTAATGAAAACAGGATAAAAAGAAAATCTCAAAGGCAGAGAAAAATGACAGTGCAAACAGAGGAATAAAACTTATAGTAAATTTATTGTTAGAAACTATGCAAGCCAGAAGGTAATGGAGTGACATCTTTGAAGTAGTGAAATAAAAAATACTGTCAATCCAGAATTCCATACCCAGCTACAATATCTCTCAAAAAAATGAAAGCAAGTGAAGCAGTTTCCATTTCCAGTAGACATGCACTACAAGAAATGTTAAAAGAAGTTCTTTAGGCAGGAGGAGTATAGCAGTTGGAAATCTGAATCTAGACAAAGAAAGAAATCGCTCTAGAAATCATAAGAGAAAAGTAAATGTGTTTTATTATTTTAATCACTTTAAAATGTAATTGTCAAAAGCAAAAATAATTGTAATACATTGTAGAAATTTTATGTAGAATTAAAATGAATGACAGCAATACCACAAAAGATGAGAGTAAAGAAATCGAAGTATACTATCATAAGGTTCTTTTACTATACACAAGTGATATAATAGTACTTTAAGATAGACTGTGATAAATTAAAGGTATATATTGTAAACCTTAGGTCAATCACTAAAATATTTATAAAAGAGGTATAACTTTTAATGCTAATAGTGGAGATAAAATTAAACAATAAAAAATCCAAAAGAAGGAAAGAGTATAGGGGAAAAAAGAATAAAGAACAAATTGGCAAATAGAAAACAACTTAAAAGATGACAGGTTTAAATTTAAACATGTCAATAATTACATTAAATATAAAGGTCTCAAAACCCTAATTAAAAGGCAGACATTGTCAGACTGAAAAAGCTTATTTATATGCTATTTACTAGAAATATACCTTAAGTATAAAGATATACTTATATCAATTAAAAAGAAAAGGATAGAAAAATATATTCCAAAAACCAATCAAAAGGAAGTTGAGTAGATAAGTTAAGACCAGATAAAACAGATTCTGCAACAAGGAATATTACTATTAATTCAGTGGGTCTAAGTTAGAGCCTGAAATTCTGCATGTTCTAACAAACTCTCTGGTACTCTAAGGATTGTTCTTGAGCAGCAAATCCTTAGAACACTAGGCCCACAAATAAATTGGCAGAATGAGGGCAGGTGGAAAGTTTCCAATATGAAACATTTGGGAAAATACAGCTTACTGTATTACCCCCTTAGATGTTCAGGATGATGAATAGCATACTAAATACTTAAACATTTCTGCAGTCGAGAAATTTGTAGTAGGCAGCCTCTAGGATGGCCTACAATGATCTCCTCTATTTCCTGGTATTCATGCCCTTGTGTAAATCAATCCCCTCCCCTTCAGTGTGGGCTGAAAACGGATTTTTTTCTAATGCATAGTATATGGCAGGGGTAATGAGATACCACTTCCAAGATTAGGTTATTAAAAGATCG